TTTTAAAAATATAGTAACATGGCGCTGTCTTTGAACATACCCTACATTTAAAACATGTTAGTTGTTTCCCAAAGAAGACAGAAAAGGTACGTATTTACAAGAATCACAATCCAACCAGAAAGCACTTTTCAAGACTAGGACGGATGAATTAAGCACATGCTTACCTCTCTCTTTCCTACAAATAAATGGATTTATGGAGTCTATATTACATACATATATAGTTCCTATCTAGCAAGGCATAAAGCAAAAAGTGCTACATTTGCCTGGATTGTGTCCCAAAAGCAGTATTAGTGCAAACTGTAACTATTCAAAATTCCTTTTACCAACAGAATCACATCCAACAGATGCTTCCATCCCATCACTATTGAAATTCAGTCAATCTAACATTTTTCTCAGCCTCACAGATTAAAAGAGGGAGAGAGAAACAAAAGGAAAAATGAGATAATTTGTAAATGAAATGTGGCCATTTAAATTACAAATTATCTCCACACGGTTTCTCTTTTCTTATTCTTAACTTCCAAAATGCATTCAAAAAGGACAAAAGCCTCTTCTTAACATCTGTCCTCTCCTTAAACTCTCTCCGATTGCTTATATGTTAAGACGGATGGCTTCATTTTCTCCATATTGTCTATCCGCTGTAAAGGTTTACAGGAGCTTCATCCTGTAATTTGCAGGCAAAGTTGTGATAGAAGAATGGAAGTTAGAAAAAAGATACTAAAATAAGAGAGATGATATTTTGCATTACAATATGTCACTTATACTTGAGCACAGTATAACATCGATGGAAAATGCATTAAAGCTGTTCACCTTACAGACAATGCCCTGTGAGAACTTTTGGTACAATGGCAGGAAGGCACAGCAGTGAAACTTTCAGATAACTAAGGAAAGACAGAATTTCCTCATATGTTGCTATGGCTGTCTTCCAGATAAACTCACTTGAAGCAATTAATTTGTCCTAGGTGAATCTAATTTCATTTTAGGAAGACAGAGAGATACTTCCATCAATGTTATAACATTAATACTGTAAAATGAATGCAGAAGTAAAAGAAATAATTTTTAATATGGAAGGTTTCAGAATCTGCTATGCTACCTTAATGTATCCACTTACGTATAAAGAGAGAAATCTGTATAATTGCCTCTAAAAGGGTTCTCTTGTTTCAGAAATAAATATATACCTATTATTTGGAAACAGCTGCTTGCAAAATGTTCAAAAGCAAATACAGTAGGATAGCTTGTCTTCATATAGCCACCATATTTGTAAATATGTAGCCTGTACTACACACACAATATAGGAAACTACACCCAGCATTTAAGGAAGGCATGGGAATGCAACTGTAGTTAATGTGAGAGTGGGAACAAGCAGAATCATTCTTTGTATTGTCAAAGGCTTTCATAGTCGAAATCACTGGGTTGTTGTGAGTTTTCTGGGCTGTATGGCCATGTTCCAGAAGCATTCTCACCAGGAGAATTCCAGACAAGAAACAATCAGTGCCACCTAATCATCTCCCAACAAAGGATTCCCCCAGGCAGTAAGAAGTCACACCTTGAAACTGCCATTAGCCATTAAATGCTAATCAAGGTGGCCAATTGCAACCTTCGCACCTACCTCAAATAAAAGTTCTTTTTTTCCTACCCTGGACATTCCACAGATATATAAACCCCATTTTCCTAGTTTCTAACAGACCTCACAACCTCTGAGGATGCTTGCCATAGATGCAGGTGAAATGTCAGGAGAGAATGCTTCTGGAACATGGCCATACAGCCTTGAAAATGCACAACTACCCAGCATCATTCTTGCTTTTCACACTTCTGTGCTTTTAAGATAAAATTTGTGAAAACAATCAAGGCATTGCATCACCAAGTGCTGAAGCTCAGGACTGGCTATGTCCTTTGAAGGGTGTTATTACCTGGAATGACTTAGGCACTGATAAGGTAAGAATTCAAACCCATCTTCAGACAAATGGGGGCACCACAAACAGAAAGGTAAAAGTAGGCACTGAATGGGAAGCAGCAGGTATACAGCCCTGCATTGAGAAACAGCCCGTCCCATTATTTTAGCATGTAAAAAAACAGATGTTGCCTTGCTATTTCTTCAATGGAAATGTAAATTTAAGGCATAGGTATCAATAAAAAAAATTAAAAGTGAAATAGTGCAAAATTGTCAATGCTTATAGTCTACCAACCATAGTTAAAAATTAGTTGATGAGTAGTTCATGAAAGAATTTGGTTAGCATGAGATTTTGGATACATTTCTAAGATTAATCGTAATCCCTGAGCATGTTTGAAAAAGGGACTTCCCTGTCAATAAGCAACAAGGGAATTAACCAGTTTTAAGAGAATGAATTGCAACATTGTGGTAAGGCTAATTTCTGCTAAATACTGAGGATCCCTTATTCAAAATGCTTGGACTAGAAGTGTTCCATATCCCCCCCCCCCCCCGGATTTTGGAATACTTTTGTATGCATAATAAGATCTTGGAGATGGGACCCAAGTCTAAACATAAAATTTATTAATTGTTTCATATATGCTTTAGACCAGGCYTCAGCAAACTTTGGCCCTCCAGGTATTTGGACTTCAACTTCCACAATTCCTAACAACCTAAGTGGCTGAGGGGGGAAAGGAAGGGCCCTGAGGCTGTTACGAGTGCTAGAAATTGAAGTCCAAAACACCTGGAGGGCCCACGTTTGCTGATGCCTGCTTTAGACCCATAGCCCAAAAATGATTTTATACACAATGCCTGAAATAGTTCTGTGCAGGAAACAATTTTTATGTACATTAAATCATTAGGAAGCAATCTCATTGTCCAGGAGGACAATATGGGAGAATTTTGCATTTCAGAATTCTGGATAAAGGATACTCAGCCTGTCTTGTCTATTACTGATTGTATAATAATATTTAGGCACTTTAAAATATATTGGATAGGAAAGGATCCAAAGGAATGCTTTTATGGAGTTTCTTCTCATTCTAAAGTAGTTTGGAGTAGGTCTGTCTCAATCAGCAATACTTCCTACCAGTAAGGATATTATCTAATAAACTCCAAGATTTTTCAAAATATGCCTTCTTGTCCCTTATTTTGTAAACCTGTGAGAAATCTTATCATGTTCAACTTATTCCATAGGAATGTTCAAAGTGAATGTTCACTGTACGTCTGCTAAAGATTTCCTTTCTCTTGCTGTTTTTGTGTGTGTGTAAACTCATTTTCAAATTGCATCATTTCTTTACATTTCTTCCTTTTCAGTGTTATGCTGGGTCATTCTTATTGAGCCAAAATAAACAAAAGTGATTTTTTTTCTTTAGGAAGAACAGTGACAAGATGAGCGAGGATTTTCCAAATGTCAAAACAACTTTCTGTTTTGTCTGCTACTTAACCTGACGTGAACATGACTACAAGATGTGCTCTGAAATTCAGAGGCTATAAAATTAGTTTCTGGAAGGTATTATGAGTTGCATTAGAAGGTGGGCTTAAAAAAATCAATTTCACATGAAACTGAAAATCCCTTTATATGTACAACTACTATTGTCCTTTCCTGCCCCTTCCTTTTCTTACATGCCACTCCTTCCCTTGATCTTAGGGCAAATCAAAGGGATTGACAAGAAGACTTGGTTAGAGCCTAGATGACAGAATGGCTATCCTTCCAAGTCAGAAGGAGACTGAAAGGGGGGAAAATCTGTAAACTGCAATCTGGTTATCCTACCTAGGAGAGTCACCAAATCTTGTCTGAGCTTTGCAGTTTAGCTGGCTCATTCCTGGCTAGTATCAAATGGGAACACCAGAGGAAGGATTGGGCGAAAACCACCTGAGTATTCTTTGCTTAAGAAAATCTTTTGGAATTCATGGGGCTGCCATAAATCAATGGGTACTGGGTAACTGGAAGGCAAATGGACACATGTGGCTATCCTGCATCAATGTTAATCACGCGAAGAACTTTGGGAATTCTCATAAATATTCTCCCTCCTTAGGAGAAAAGCTAATTTGGCATACTCTTGCTGTGTCTATGTAAACAGTGGCAATTCACAGTTCCAATGGTATGGAGAGCCAGAAGCCCATACAACAACAGATTCACTGTCAGCAAAAGGTTGAAGCAATTGGGCATAGTAGCCCTTTCTCTTCTTCCTGTGTATTGCTTATAAATGGTGAGATGATGCAGCACAGTGCTGCCTTGCTCTCTCCATCTATATGACTGGTGTTAGCACTAGAGCAATAAGTTTAGTGACTTGCTATGAGCCCTAATACATATAGTATATTTGAGTCAATGTACATGTGACTGGAGGGAAGGGGGACACACACCAAAAAACTGGCCTGTCAGTTAGAAAGCTACTGTAACATCTCTGTTGTGCTCTTTTTGCATAAGTACTGAAATATTCTGATGAAACATTCAGATATGAAATTATCCCAATACACCACAATTGCAGTCTAAGGTGATGTAGCTCCAGAAATTCTGAATCCTGAATTTCATATAGATGTGTAGACTGAACCTCAGTTACCACTTTTGCACTACACAAGCTGGCCGAGAAAGTAGAATTGGTTTTCCAACTTGATACATTGTGTAAGGAAGCTCAAACATATTGTGGTTTCTTCTTTTAACAGAACTCTTAGAGAATCAAGATCTCTACACTGACTATATGTCAATTATCTTTGGCAGGAATTTTTCACTGGAGGAAAGAAAATCACCTTATTGCACCATAATGAAAAAGGGTCCCTGAGATATCTGGGTATTTGGCTAGCTGCTGTCATGAGAACTAAGATGGGAAAAATATTTAAACAATTTAACCAGTTAAATTTTTTTGCATGTCACTTTTCCTATGAATTAAATCATGGTATCTTTTTAGAGCAGTTTGCTCTTGTAATTTGGACCATGAAAAAATCCCATTGTTACAGTGTGGGAACAGTTTCCAGTTCATATTACTTAAAAGCAAACAAGTTCTATATATTGTGAGAATCTAAGATAAATCTGTTTGACTTTTGCATTATCCATATATATCCCAACATTGGATATGGAAAATTCAATAAGAAGAAACTGAAAACACAAAGTTACCCATTTAAAATTCCAGTGATTTCAGAGGGAATTTGATGCACTAACTAATGCAAATATCTTCCAGTGAAATCCATGGCTTCTAAAATATCAAAATATTCATTATATTGTTGGTTGAATTTATATCTCTTCTAATTCAAAGCAAAACAAATTTGGCTTCTATGTATCCTGAGATGAGAGCAACAATATGGTAAAGTACAATTGAGAGCACTGCATTATAGCTTGATGTGTCCATAAACTGTGGCTTTCCTTTTTTTTCCTCATTGCAGTATCGTTCTTGTGCTAGATTCCCTGCTGCTTATGAAGCTCCCATGAAATTGTGCCGAAAGGGTAGTCAAACCCCTATTTGCAAAAGAACAAAGGTAATTTTGCTCCCTTAAATTTTTCTGGCTCAGTTTGTGTGCATTATTTTGTGAGAGGTCTTATCATTTTAATTTTTTATGGCCAACTTCATCACTTTAGGAACCATACTATTTTCTGTTGAATGAGTAACTTTGTAATTCATCCGGTGTGGTTCACAGCACAAACATAATCCCTCTTCAGCACAGGTTTCTGGACTGGTGCCTTCTTTTTTCAGTTGCATAGCTCTTTCCATTCTGCAAATGTGTGTGTATGTGCATCTGTAATCATAGTAATATATTGTGTCAAGCGCACGCCTTGTTACATGAGAACGACATGATCTTTGAACAAAAGGAAGAGTGTTCTTTTTGATGTTTACAGTGAGAGGTGCCGGGCTGCTTAGTCAAAGCTGTCAGTTTGATGCCAGTGCATTGTTCCTGGTGTTGAACTGGTGCCTTGAGATGATCAGTTAAGGAAGCAGGAGGCTGATGGGGCAAGAGAGGAATCTAAGAGGTCAGCTACGGAAGCGTTCAATAAAAGTTGACTTGCAAATCTCTTCTATGTCTGACTTCTGGCAGGCAGTCCTGAAAATTCTTTCCTGATAATTTCGTTAACTGTGAAGGAAAGAGAGGAAGGAGAAATGTGTTAATCTGCCAGGGATTTAAAAAGACCTTAATATGAAATCATGAGGGTAGTTTGTTGCTAAAAGCCATTCAGAGGGTCAGAGAAGTGTGGGAAGATGGCTAGAACTGGGTTGAAAACAGCTATGAAACTCACGGGGCAATTTTGTGCCACTATCTTTCATTCTGAAGAGTAGGGAAGACTGCCCTGAACTCCTTCGATGAAAGGATTTTTTTTAATGTAATATAATAACGTATCCTTATACATCTTTTGTAAATATCTTGTGAAGTACTCTTATTTGACAGCCAGAAGAGTGTAGTGGTTTGAGAGCTGACTACAACTTTGAAGACCAGGGTTTGAATCCATTCTTGCCTATGGAAAGGAAACCCACTGGATGACCTTGGGCAAGTCACATTCTCTCAACCTTAGAAGAAGTCAAAGGCAAACTTCCTCTGAACAAATCTTGCCAAGAAAACTTTACAACTGGTTCATGTTAGTGTTGCCATAAGTTGAAAAGTCACACTGTCTTAACTGCAGAAGAAGACAAAAGCAAACCCCAAAGGCAAGCAAATATAACTAGGAAAACTCTACGATAGATTCACCTTAGGGCTTACATCAGTTAGAAATGATTTGAAGGCATACAACAACAACAATGCTCCTGTTTGATAACTTAATTGTATCATGATGCACAGCCTATCTCCTTCCTTGGAAATAATGATGCAATAATCATAAATAAAAGAGCTCACATTTAATAGCTCTTTCAAGATACCCCATTCCACCTAAATGTATTTCTATATACTGACAAGACTGTTGGGTCAACATATGTGAAGTGTCTAAGTGTTAGGGAATATGTATATTTTCACTCAGATAGCACAAACATGTGTTGGTCAATTAAATATGCTGCACTTTGGGCTATTAATACTATCTTTTCATTTTGGAAGTCAGTGAGCTCCTTTATCTGGTATCTGCTGATGATCAATTCCCATTTTCTGGTGAAACCACACAATGACTAGCTAATATGCACACACATACCTCTCTTAGTTCTGTAAACTCATGACTTCACAGGAATATGCCACAATCACTGCTATCTAGACAAATCATCCAATAAGTTCACAACATCCCAAAGAAGAACATATGAAAATATCAAAACAACCATATCTTAAATTACAGAAGCAGAAATTTAGAAACAGGAAAAATAGAAACAAACAGCAGCATTGGGGGAAGGGGCATTTTCAGAAAGGAAACTGTTGTGGGGGACAGACTTGAACCTTTTTCAAATTATCTTCTCTCCCATGTACCCACAATTACTTTAGAGAGAGAAAGGGAGAGAATCCGAAAGTCTATTTATAAAACTGTCTTAGGGCAATGAAAATTTGGATTCCAGGTTTAGGCACAACGGGAAGCCTTTGCTTCCTTGTTACTTAGCCAATTCCATAGCAAATTAATGAATGTGCTCTTTTTGAGCAACAAACCAGAATACTCTGCAATTCTGACTTATCATTATATCTGAAAGCAGACAGTGTGTTAGCAGATCTTGACAGCAACTTTGTGCATTACTATCCAGAACACAATAGCTGTTGTTGCTTTCAGCAACTTTCAGAGGAATCTCTGAACATGTTCCATGGGTTCTGAGAAATTTAATAACTTTGCCATCTCAGATATTTTATCAGGATCAGACTGAAATGCTAACAGATGTTTGTGATTTTTGGTGATTTTAAATAGTGATCCAGAACTACTGAGACAAATGTGTGTCTTTGAGTTTCATAATAATTACATTAATTAACATTATAATAGGATGAAACTATTAAAATTCTTAAACTACTAAAATAGCATACCTACTAAATGATTGTAGCAGTGCTGTACTGCTTCCAATTTTGCTATTTTAAGTGCTATCCTTAATATCCTTTTTGAGGTTAAGCTTTAAATTGTTTTAATGGCATAGCTGATGAGTAAAAATAGCAAACTTGATATAAAATCCCTTTACTTAAAAGTCTTCAGTTGTACACGATTGTTCAAAAAAGGTCCTTTCTGCATTTGTGTGTGAGTTTGTGAGTCCAGACTCCCAAATAAGGGAGCTTCGGAGACTGGGGGCAATCACTAAGAAGGTCCTATCTCATGTGCTCACCAATCCATTCCACTGAAGGACTTCTTCTGGGAGTCTTGTGACCCAAACAGGCTCATGTGAGGAGATAATGTCTGTCACACTGCTTGGATCTAAGCCATAGAAGGCTTTGTAAGTCACAACCAGCACTTTGAATTGTGTTTGTAAAGAGACCAGAAGTAAATGGTGCTGTTAAGAGTATGGGGCAGTCGTACGATTCCTCTGTATATGTTGTGTGCATATTTGTATGTGTGTAGAGGGGAGACGGGCAGGAGAAATGATACAAAACCAGAAAGCATTGTGATATTTATATCCTATAACATTCATAAAGAGACATAAAATCTGACAGCATCATCACACCAGAGCATGGATCCACTTTAAATCGGGTTTCTGCCTCGTGCAGAATTCTGGGGTTTGTAGTTTAGTGAGGCCAAGGGTCTGTCTGGCTAAGCAGTTTAAAGGTTCCTCCCTAAAGTAGAAGCCCAGAATTCTGCAGGAGGCAGACACTGGATTTAAAGTGGATCCATGCTCTAGTGCGATGAGGTTCATAGAGTTGGAAGAGACAACAAGGGCCGTACAACTCTCTGCCATGGGAGGATACATAATCAAAACACTCCTGACAGATGACTATCGTATCTATCATCTTCTTAAAAATCTCCAGAGAAGAAGACTCCATCACATTCTCAAGCAATGTACTCCATTGGCGAACCACTCTCATCACCAGGAAGTTGTTCAAAATGTTTAATAGAATATCTTCTTATAGATTTCATGCAAACATTAGGAAGAACTTCCTGATGGTAAGAGCGGTTCAACATACTCAAGGCTGTAATGCTACTCAATGCCCTTTATGAACGTTAGAATAAAAAAATATGAGTTAGATTATTAATTATTGAGTGGTTAATAATCCATCGATATATAACCCAATATACTCTTGTAAAATCCCACTTAGTTCATGTTATTTTTAATGTACATGAAATCAGCCTGTGGTTCCTTTTATAGCTAAGTTTGCCAAAGAACAGTTTCACTTTAAAAAAAAGAAACAGGCTTTGAAACGTATTTGTTAGCAAACCTCTTGTCTTTCTGGTTAGCTGCAATGCAAGGGATCAGCCGGTGGGAGGTGAAATTGATCTAATTTCACCACAGGCCAATTCAACGGCTGGTGTTTTTTCTTCTTCATTTTTTTTAAAGCTTCCTGTTTTCTCTACCCAGGAAATGAGAAGAGCAGATCTTCAATGGAAATTTTTCGGTCTCTTGAGTGCTAAAAATAGCAGTTAGGTAAAAAAAGGTGGGCACCAACACTAATGAGGGAGTGGAGGGTCATTTCCTTTCTGTAAACAAATTGACTGAAGCTACAGACTGGATTATTTATCAACATATTTGTTCACATAGTTCAGTTCACACACACAAAACACATACATACAAAAGACAAACACATGCACTGCATTGTAGGGGCATTTCCTTTTATTTAATGAAATCAACCTGTTTGGAAATGTGACATTTTCCCTGTTACAAAGCTCTGTTGGTTGCCAAAATGGGGATGGCTGGATGGGTTTAACATTTTAAAATCAGAGGAGAACCCTGGCTAAATTAAGGACCGAATTACATTAATTTTATTATGAATACCAATGCAAGGGCCCCTGGGAACAGATAAAGTACAATGCAGCCTCATTAATAAAGCCACAAATGCTACTAGTCTGCAAAAATGTGTAACTAGCTTGGCAATAGGCTGATCCCACACATTTTCAAGCCAGCTGTAGAGGAAATGGGTGCCCCTGGTTCGGTGGCTGAGTAGAATACAGCCTACCAACCTTTTAGCAGACTAATTGTTTTTATTTAAATTCCCTTTATCAAATAGGTTGGAGGAGAAGGTATTAAATCCAGTGCCTTGCATCTACCAGTCATTACTTTCTATTAGGCTTGGTTGATAAAAAAAAAAAAGGTTCAAAACTCGTTTCAGATGTAAGGGACGCTGGTGGTTTGATTCTAAAGTCACTTCCGATTTTTTTTTTAAAAAAATCAAAACTATCCAAAACTTTTGAAACTTTCTAATCAATTTGTTAATGCGGATACGCCTGCACAGTAGGAAAAAAAACCCCAGGCCTGGCACTGGCAAAACTTCAGGCGATTCTCCCTCATTTTTAAACCAATTCTAATGAAACTTGCTACAGTAGTAGAACACATGGACCACTGGTAGCTCACCAAATGTCATAACCTTTGACTTATCCATGGATTTTTGGTGAATTTTCAAATTTTTCAATATATTTTTTAATAATAAAGAAAATCTGTTCCTCATTTGAAAGTGTTATTTCCTGTTTCATTGGGTGGTCTTTACTTTGCAAGTAGTTGTTCTACTTCAGAAACTTTTTTTGTGTGGCACAAACTGTGTTAAATTGGCAGAGAACAGAAATCAGTACAGACCCCATCAAGGGACATCCATCCATTTATTCCTTTTTGGAGGTGCAATCATTTTATTTTATCATTACTTACTGACTGAAAAGAGCTGGCTGTGGTTGGCTACCCCAGTTCTTTGTTCATGGCAATCAGGCAAAAGTAAAATGATTGTTTTTAAGCAGTTTATGTTGTCTTGGCTTTGCAAAAGTTGCTTATTGCTTTGCTGCCTTCTTTAGACACCTTTGTAGATTCCATCAGTTTATTTTATATTCAGACAAAGACTGCTACAGACAGCTATTTTGGGGTCCTTCAGACATTTTGGCTAATGACCAGCCAGGAAGTGTGGGAAATGTAGTTCAACAGCAGTGCCTTTTGCAATCTCTACCATTGGGGGCCTGGCCTTCACAAAGTACAGTTAAAGATGGCTGTGATTAGCCATGTCCACCTCATCCCTCCTTGTATCGTTGGCAGAAAGCATGAGATTTTAAATGTTTTTAGGCT